AACTTTATCACTTGCTTAGGCTTTCTAATTTTTTCTATTTTGGAAAATATCCCTATTCCCATATCCTTTTAACATCTTTTACATTTTCATTTTTTTATAAAAATAATTATGGGACATAACAGCATTAACAAATAAATTTCCCATCTTTTGTGAGAGTTATTTTCCTAAGGATGTTAAGCAATGCTTATTCCCTTTTAAGTTTCTAGTGTCATGCCAATGTTTAATTAAAGTTTTACTGGGGAACAAATGAATTTATTGACCTTACTTACTGAAATAACTGAGGGGTTGCTGAGGTGTGTATGACCTGAGGGTATGCACACTGGAAAGCCTTTACCCAGCATGGGTCATGCCTTCTCTTCCTAGCCTTCCCCAGATTGTATACTTTAGCCCTCCCCAAATCCAGGAGGCCATGTGTGATTAGGGTCAAATTACTTTCAGTTGGTTGGGAAGAGTGGCTGGATAATGCAATGAGGTCCAATGACCCTGGTTGGCCATCCTTTAATGAATGAGCACAACCATCAATAAGCCCAATTGTGACAATGTTTAGTGATCAGGCACAGCTGAAGTCATGATGATGGTAGTTATTTCATGCAGAAGGGACTGCTGTACAGCATCATCTTTTTCATGCAGAAGGGACTGCTGTACAGCATCATCTTATTGAAAGGACCTAGAATTTAAAAGGATTTGGTACTAGGAGCCACATATGAGGGGGAACATATGTGAACTTGGGAGTTTTCAAAATTATATACTTCATTTAAGTTAGTTGAATTCTGCCTACTGACACTTGTTAACATATCAGAAAGTCAGAAAGTCTCTACTACTCACATTTTCAACAGTGCCTTCTCAGTTGCCTAATTTTCAAAGTGTTATTTCCTCTCTCTAAAAACCATCAATTAACTGTTGCTTGTAACTTAAAATTCACTTAGTCCCAGCCCTAAGAGTGAAGAGCAATAAGATACAGTGTTCACACCATTTGAGCAAGGACATATTTTTACCATTCAAGTGTGTTCTTTCTGGCAGCAACTTACAAAATATATGAACTAGTAACCAAGACCAAGAGAAGGAAAGACTGTCCGTGCACCATGAAGAAAAAAAGGGCAAGATGGGCTCTGTTTCTCTGTCTCTCTCTCTCTCCTTTGCAAGCTTCAAAAATGTTGAGGATTTTTCCTTTTCTTGATAGAGGCTTAAGTCACAACAAAGGTGAAAAATAGCACATGAAGTCAGTGTTCTTTTCTGTTATTTTTTTTTAAGTGGGAAAAAGCATTTCTTCTAAGCATCGGGTTTATTCCTGCTGCCTGTCCCGAGGTCCATCCTAACATATATTGGCAGGGAGAGAGGTGGAGAGTGTGGAGGGAAGCAGAATTTATTCTGACTCTAACAGTCGCAGTGGGCCTCTCACAAACATGATGCTAAATTACAGGCCTCTCCATGGGCTGAGTGTAATGTTAAGTTGTGTGATGGATTTTATCTTATACAAGCTGCTTCGGTCCATGAAATGAGATAAGAAACCACTGCAGCTGGAGTTCACTGAGGGTTGAATGCACACTGAAATCCCAGTGTTAACACAATAGCATGAGGCAGCTTGGATGCTAAGACTGGTGCTCTGTGCTCATAGAGCAAAATTTTCAAGGAGACTGGAGCCTTTCTGTGGGTTTACCCCAGCCAGTTCCCTCCTCCGGTTCAATGGTGAGGGCATGAGGGCAGGTTTGCTCAGGAAAAAAGAAAGAAAAGAAAAAACCTTCGATCCTAAACCAAGAAGAGCTGCTGCCGCACAGCTAGAGAAGGCAGAGTGTACTCCTCACAGGATCTGAGGCAGGGGAATCCCGCCCTGATGCACCGAACATGCCCCTGGGCAAGTAGCAGCCATACTAAGGATCTGATGCCTGGTTTGGGAGGCAGTCTGGAGAAAGGGGACTGAAGATTATCTGTGCAACCTCCAGTAAGATGTACAGAGCACTCCACAAACAGAATACTAATAGCCATGCAATGGTTGACTTCTTTAAAAATCGTGTTAAGAAAAAGTAAAATTCTTTCATCAAGCATGAATCGCCATCTGCCCAGCTCGCTGGAATGTATGCATGCTTATAAATTCAAACAATACAGATGTCTCTGAAAGTCCTCTGTGGAGCAAGTGGGGCCAGGAATTGTCAAGTTAGGATCTAGGTCTTGAAGTTGAATTTTGCTCCTAATTTTTAGAATTAAGATTCTGCTCAACTTTTTTTGATAAGCTATTTGTCCTGAATCACATCGCCCAGAAATAGAAAAATACAAATGAGAGTCTTCTCCCCTCAATTTTGCCTGAAAAACATGCCGTGAGCCTTCAGCGGTATCTCATCAATAATGTCGTGAGAGCTGGTATACAATTCCAGTTATAATTAACTTAATCACCTTCATACCTGTTTTTTCTGCACCTCAAAGCCATGCAGCACAACAGCTCTGTCCCAGCAGCCATTCTCAAACAGGAAGTCTGTTTGTTTTCTTTGAAATAAACTTTATCACATTTACAAGTGGAACCTCGTTGTCACTACCCCGTCCCCCTTCCTGTTTGACACTCAAACCAAGTTCAGATGAGTTTCCAACAGCAGAGACTGGCTGCCTGAGGGACAATGCCTCCTTTTGCAGAAAGCTAGGAAATACTGTTTTTCATTGTAAAAAAATCTGCTGCATTACCTCTAAAATGAAATTACTTTTGAAATTCAGTGGAACAAGAAATGACTTACTCCAGCTACCTGCTTAGGGAATAACATTTTGGATTACAAGAAGCTTTATGATAATGTACTGTCACCCACACTTTGACATTAACTCAGCTGACTCTATAAATCACAAAACTGATGTCATTCTAAAGTATGCCTGATAAAGCCATACAGTGAAGGCCAAATAGTTTTAAACTGTTTTGGAAGCAATCTTAAGAAAGTGTAATCGAGGTCTGGTGTGCGAGCGGGGCTGTAACTTATGGCTCAGAATGCCCGGCACAGCCTACTCATGGAGAGGTAGCTGAATAAAAAGATCTGAGTGGTACCATAGCACCATGAGGAGGAGGAGAATTAAGAGAAGTTCAGAGGTGATAAACAGTCTCAGAGAAGCTAATTAGTCAAGTTCTGAAAAGCGTTACCTGGGTAAACAAGTCAGCTTTAGAGAGGAACCAGAATGAAGTGGCTTTTTCTCACCTTCACCTTCCGTTTCCAGACGACAGCAAGTTCTCCGAGGCTATCACAGTGTTGCTGTCCTGGATAGAACGCGGGGAGGTGAACCGGCGCTCTGCAAACCAGTTCTACTCCATGGTGCAGTCGGCCAACAGCCACGTCCGCAGGCTCATGAACGAAAAAGCCACCCACGAGCAGGAGATGGAGGAAGCCAAGGAGAATTTTAAAAATGCCTTAACCGGGATTCTCACTCAATGTAAGTAAAAACTTGGGGGCCATCTCTGTGTAGCTTTGCCTTGCCTTTTGTACTCATTTTATGTTTTCGTTTGGGGGTAAGTAGTTCAGTAATCTCCCATCTTACTCCATACTGAATGGCAAACGTCATAACGGATTTCATGTTCTGTGGCACGTGGAGGAGCACGGACCCTGCCCTGAGAGCTTACTTCTCAAGGTGAGCAACGTTTCTGTAGCTTTTCTCAGAATACCATGCCTGGCCCCCCGGACAGGGCAGCCAGGTGACCTGTGCTTGTCAGATCCACCGCAGTTCACACCATGCCTGCAGGGCGGCCACTCTCCACCCGCAGGCTGTCCACACAGACCCAGATGTCCTCCTGGGGCTCATATTAGAGAACAGACCTTGAAAATTTCCTGGGGCTGTGTTTAGAAAAAAGGTTCCATCAGCAAAACTCCTCCTCAGGAGTAGAGGCTTTCGTCCTTTCTTCATTTGGAAAGCGAATTGCCTTAAACACTTAATACCAGTGATTTTTCATGTCTAGATCCTGAATTGATGAAAGAGTATAAATGGAGCTTTCTAATAGAACAATAGTCACAGTAATTACCCAGGGCTCTATTCAAAAAAAGGGTGCTGACTTTTTCTGTGGCACTCTGTGTCTGTCGTTAATGTCACAGCAGCTCAGTGCAGTTCAGCTGACCATAGTCTGTTGCTTGGTAAAAACCATTGAGTGACAGTGTAGCAGGGCTGTGCCTCATTCCATTCCCGGTGGAGGGACCCGCACAAGACAGTGACACATGCAATTTACATATTCATTCTGAATTGAAGTATTATTTGTAGTGATATAGTGTACCAAAATGCCTGTCACCTCTTTCAAGATTTTAAACCTAAGGTATAGTGTGTCTGTTAGGATAGGATGGTACGGAGGGATGACAGCCAGGATCTTAAATATGAAATTATCTTCTGTGATAATTTAAACTGTCAAGAGACCATTTTTGCAGCAACATAGAGTATCATGTAATGAATTCCCAAACATAAACTAATCAGTAACTAAATACCCAGGGTGAGACCAATCCGCTATTAAAGAAAAGGAATAGGAAAAACAGGAGTGCTCTGCCTCATACTGACTGGCACCATACCTTACAACTCACCAGCCTGGAGCAATGGCCCTTGGCCCAGCTGTGTACATGTCCCACAGTTCTAAAGTTAGAGTTATTAGGGAGAGAATAAAGAAAGTACTGACTCCAGCTTTGAAAAACAGGAAAGACAGTAATGGTGTGTGAGCAGAGAGAAGGTAAGGGTGGACTGGAAGGAGAGAAATGGAGAGAGGAGAGAGGAAGGGCTGAACAGTTCCAACAGAACAGTGCCTGCAGTTGCAGTAGGAAACCACATGCCTAAACAATGGAATCACTTGTTCACTTCTTTTTTTTTTTGCTTGTGGCCTCAATTTTAACTAACTTCTCAGCCTCATGCAGTTTATAGCCCCACCTTGAGTGAGCACTCAGCCGTTGGCTACAGCACTGAAGGCCACAGGGCTGCCCTGGGTCAAAATAGGAGAGAATCTTGCTTTCTTTGGCAGTGATATTAAAATGGGGATGAATTTAAATGAGTCTTCATTGATGCAGTTGAAAAACATAAGACATGCTTTCCTGACACAACGCAGGTAGAAGTCAGCCAACATTTGAAACAGACAAGAAACTATAGGCGAGCATCCGCATATTTATTACCAATGAAAGTTTGGAAATGAGTTCACAATATGTCATAGTAATGGACCTCCTGATGGTGAAGCTTAGGATGGGGCATCCAGCCTTGGGCCACACTGAAGCCAGGGAGCCTCCACCTGGATGCCAGAGCTGGGAGGAACACACTAGGACAGGGGCCACCCCTAAGGAGTCAGTGAAGCTGCAACAGGGCCAGGAGAACATGCCTTGGAAACCCACCCCTTCCCCCCGAGTGGAGATTGCTCTCAGGGATGCTTCTTAAAGCTTCAGCTTGAAAGCTTTGACCTCTTGTCTTTAATCACCTAACCTTTTCCATTTCTAGCCTTTCTTTTCTTTTTGAATAAATTCTCTAGTCAAAATCTTACATGTACTTTTTATACCCTCCCTCTCCCACCAACACACCCTATGCCCAGGTCATCAGAAATCCTATTGTTTCTACCTGGAAAAACATAGCCTTATGAAGGCCCAGTTGTCTCACTTTGATACCCACTGCTCATGTTCAGGCTGCCCAGGCAACTAAAATTGCTTCGTGTCAGTTGCATGTTGATTCTACCAGGGAGTAACAAAAGTCTCTGCCACACTGGTTACCTTCATGCATGCACAGTAAAATGCAGATAGTGATGTTTGCTGACCAGTTCATTGGTTCAGGCTGTCTAGGATGCCCATAGTTCAAGGTGGGGTTTTCTGATGACTGTAGAATGACTGCTCCTACTCCTGCCATTGCATCTCCTTGTCTAGGCTGAAATCATATGGGAGAAGGGAGAAGAAGAAAAAATTATATCATATTGAGAAAGCATAACTGTTCCCCCAAACCCCAGTCATTAGATCCCACCTGCCTCATTAGGTCTAATAACTAACTACACATGGCCATGCCTAACTACAAGGAAAGGGAGACATAACTTCTGACTGGTCCTCTGATCTCCAGGATAAGATTGGAGTGCTCAGGGGCTGGAGAGATGGTGCAGCATTTAAGAGCACTGACTGCCCTTGTAGAGAACCCATGTTCAAGTCCCAGCATTGACATGACAGCCCACAACCATCTATAGCTGCAGTTCCAGGAGATCCAGCGCTGCCTTCTGACTGCTACAGGCATTACATGACCCGGGTGAACACGCATGCAGATTCATACACACAAAATTAAAAATAAGTAAATTTTTTTAAAAGACTGGAGTGCTCCCAGTAAAGGACAATAGTCACTGAGAAGCCCTGCACAGCCCTGTGTAGAACACTCCTCCCTTTGCACTTTGACTCCAGTTCCATTCCTTTTTCACACATCATCTGATCCCTGAGATTCCCTTGGGTGGCTTCCCATTGTATTTTAAATACCACCCACGGATCCCAGCCCTCCCAGCTCTCCAGCCTGCCTTGTCACCATCATTTTTTCCCTGGAACACTGTTGTCATCTCCACTGGCCTCCTTGCTCTTGAACCTGGCAAAGCTACCTCCCACCTCTGGATTTCCATTTCTCTTCCTTTTCCTACTGTGCATGCTGGAATCTTTCTCATCCTTTAGGTCTTAGTTGAAAGGCCAGTTCTTCCGAGTGGTCTTTTCTTGTCTACCTTCCTCTAGTGGACTTTCCATGGTTATACCGTAGCAAGGTCCCTTGATGCACTTATCCAAGTGTGTGATGATTTCATGGTTTGTCTGGTTTTGATGACTGTGACAGGAAAGGGCATGTCTTTTGTAGTCATTACTATATGTTCTGAAAGACAGACATATGCTGGGTGAAGGAGGGAGTAAATCAGTACATAATAGGTAAATTGCAAGGCAGACAGGCAGGAAGCCTGAAACAGTGCATTCAGATACTTCTGGTAGCTGGGCATGGTAGTGCACACCTGTAATCTCAGCACTGGGGAGGCTGTTATCAATAGACTGTAAAAACCTTCACTTGTGTTGACAGCTCAAGATGTTGGCTGAGGGGTGCCAGGCCCATCTGGAGCACAGAGGGCTTTGTACAATGACGATTCTCCCCCAACATCAGGGATCCTAATCCTCACACCCACTGTGAAAATATTAGCAGTGATGTGACTGCTAAGTAGGCATGTGTCCATCCCATCACTCTGTGAGTATAAGGCTATCACACCCCATGTCTACTCTCTCTGGTAGAGCTGTGTTGGTGTATCTCGGTCACTTTTCCTGCTTCCCCAGGCTTAGTTTGGTATGGAGACTTGAATCTGGTGTTAGTACTGTGGGGCTGTTTCTAAAACTGTTACCTTTGATTGACATACTTGCTGCATTTCCCCAAAGCAGAGCCAGTCAGACCCTATTTATCTGCATTAATGCTCCTCACAAACTCCACAGGCATCACATGTGGCTCTCACACAGATTGAGAAGGAGAGTGTCTAACATTCATGTTCGGGAGCCGACACCTCAGTTCGCTTTCTCCTAAATGCTGGGAAATCTCCTGGTTATCAGGCAATAATCCCGAGTGCTCCCTTATAAAAGGTCCCCAGTGCCCTTCTTCATGGCATCCCACTGTAGCCCATACAGTAAACAGTCAAGAATGTTGGAAAATCGTTCTGAGGCATCATGGAAGTTCTCAGGTGTGTTAACAGGCCTGATGTCCTAATGGGAGGGTTTCTTTAGCAACTTCCGGGAAAATCTGGAAACATTGCAAAGTTGAAGGCATAATGGGCTCCTGTGTAGACTTTTCAGGAAATAGCCAACTGGCTGAGCAAGACAAGAGAAACTTCATGCTCAAGGCCATGAAATGGGGCAAGATGCACGCACCCATTGATTGCTTCCTCTTCCTTGCTGTGTTGGTCTTTTCTTCCTGTGCAAAGCAAATGTCAGAGGAGTGATTCTACGGCCAGCTAGCGATCTGGAAGAAAGAAATCAGGGATGCTCTTCCTTGGTTTTAGTGCTTAATGAAAAGGAAAAGTTGGGCATCAAACACCAGCATTTACCTTCTAGCTTCACTGGTGCTCTGTTCTGCCAACATTTGCGTAAGTTCTAGAACCAGCGCTATAATGCACTCAAACAGGCAGTTTTCAACCAAGGGTTGCCTTGAAGGGTTAAGGAGCAGCAGTTAAACCCAGCCATGAGTTTGGGGTGTATGGTATCCATCCACTTCTCTTAAAAATTACTCTTGGAGAGTTGGGTGTGGTAGCGCACGCCTTTAAACCCTTTAATCCCAGCACTTGGGAGGCAGAAGCAGGCAGATCTCAGTGAGTTCCAGGCCAGCCTGGTCTATAGTGAGTTGGCCAGCTGGGGCTACTGAGAAACCCTATCTCAAACAAACAAACAAACAAACAAACAAACAAACAAAAACCAACAACAAACAAATAAAAAATAAAACAAACT